GCGTCACTTATTTTATGGTAGACCAGAATCTGAAATCAATATGGGAAAATATAGAGACAAATTAGCTTTATTACTCTTGGTAACTTGGTTATATAAATTGAACAAATATAGAATAGTATATAATTTCCTGCTGTCAGCCATTTAGATATTTCCTATTTTGGGTTTGTCAATTTGTTGTTCTTTGTAATATATATCATTATACACCTGTCACTGTATTGCCATAAGTTACAGTTGTAATTTTGTGGTATTTTCATCCCACCATATAAGAAAATAAATGCGAATTCTAAATATAGAATGACTACGCGCATAAGTGTCCTCTAATAATAAAAACAAACATGGGTGCCACCAGGGTTTGTCTAGACTCCATACAATCAGGTTTGTTGATTCTGTTCTAAACTTTTAGGATTTCGGCATTCCCATGATGTATCATTGGGAAGGAAAGATGTATAATAATAATGATATTACGAGGATACCGCAAAGTATGCACTCAGACAGTATGCTGTCACATCGACCTCAGTCGGTCAATACTCACGTTGTACTGCCTTCATACAAACTTTTCGGTATCCTCGTAATAACCTCATAGAATGATTATTATTGATGTTACAGACCAATCGTGTACATGTATAATAGTTACGTATTATCGGCGGGGGGAGGGTATTTGTATTGGTGTGGAAACAAATATGACTGACAGGGAGCAAAAACAGCGGTTTATGTTTATTCATCTAAATTGCATTGTATCCATTTTGTTGATGTGCATCAGTAACCCATCATGACTTATATCAATGCCAAGTTGAAATGAAATCGGTCAAGGCATGTCCGAGAAACGGTTGATTGAATGTCCAAATGATTTGGATGATGATGATTTTTTGGACAAAAATGCTGTAATTCCAAACAAATAAGTAGACGACATTGACTAAAAGGTTCTACACAGTGCATTTCACGCATGTGAACACCATTTGTTCACATATTTTGCGTACACACCTATCTAATGCGATAAATCAGATACTCACAATGTTAATGGTAATCATGATGTATAGTACGTCGGGCATCGATCTATTTGCGACAACTGATCGCCGGTCCGTATCATTCGGAAATAATTCAAATACGTTCAATAAATATTCATTGAAAAAGTTTAAAATTCAAACTTGGCTGTCAATGTAGACAAATAAATAATGTCGTTGGCGGTTCAATTTAAATCGTCGGTAAAAAATACAAATTACCAATATAATATAGTTCTGGCGCTACAAAGGCATTCCTTCATCTTTATAAATATTTCACAATTCAAACTGAAACGAAAGGTTTCTATTGGCCGATCGAATAACATTGGAAAGTTTTCAAATTACGTCGTTCCGCACGGCGCTAATTGATTTGCTCTGGTCTGAGCGTTCGGTATACCCTTCTGTGTTTATGTAAATCAGAACCAATAGAGGCTTCCGTCAGGTTTACAAGCCGCTCCAACGCGTATATACATTTTACATACCTTCTGAAAAGTGTTCAACTCAGATTTCCAGCAAATTCGGTTACTCGTTGTGTAGAGACAGAGTAGGTAGTCACTGCATCAACCTACAATTGAAAATATAGTACAGTTTTGACAAAAATAATACAATTAAAATTTGGTCTTAAACTAGTGATGGCCTGAGTTCAATTCTAAGCTATTTGACTCTTAGATCAGTGCGCCGCCAAGCGACACAAAATATCACAATGAAAACATTTTATTTATCGTAGGTCACAGTTCACCTTACCCTGGGTGATGACTATGTATGACTGACAGGGAGCAAAAAAAGTGGTATATGTTTATCCATCTAAATCGTATTGTGTTCATTTTGTTGCCGGTATACAAGTATCAGTTGTTGTTTGTGTACAATTGGAACATACATTGAAGGAACAGAATTCCCTTCCCTTCTTTCACATTGAAAAAAAAAACGAGTCATTGTCAATGTCATAGCTCCCCCCCCCCATCATGTTTTTAGTGACTTTGTCAAAGAATGAAAATCATAGTCAGATTATGTTTAAATATTAGTATTTAGCATCTTAACTACAAATGTGCATGAAACATGTATAAGGACTAAGTTTGAATGAAATTGGTAAAGGCATTCCCCAGAAACTGTGCGAATGTTGATTTTTGAGACTGTTAAAGGCTGTCAGTTGAGGATCAACAAAACAGCACAAACGATATTCACATGTATGATGACTTGTGATGTACCAACTTTGAAAAAACAACATTTAACCAATTATATCTTGCCTTTGTACAAAATTTAAATCCACTCTGTAAAATCATCTCTAGATTAGACAAACAAAATGGCCACCAGTCAGCTATTTTGAATTGATGACTTATCGGTCAAGACATGTCCAAGAAACGGTTGATGACATTTTTGAATTTGTGTGATTTTATTCGTTTTTTGATGAAAAGGGCCGTCAATCAGCTACATTTTGACAAAAACGAAAATAACTTGTACAAAATTTCATCCAAATCGCCGTAAAATGAGCAGAACACTCACAAAATGGCCACCAGTCCGCCATTTTGAATCAAATCCCACAAAAAATGTGCATTAGTAACCCACCATGACTGATATCAATGCAAAGTTTGAATGAAATCGGTCAAGGCATGTCCGAGAAACTGTTGATGGCATGTCCAAATAATGATTTTTTGGACAAAAATGGCCGCCGGTCGGCCAAAGGTCAACCAAATCAAAAATAAATCGATGTGCACATGTCTGCCATTATGACTAGTCTTAGTGCCAGCTTTGAAGAAAATTTGTCCAGGCGTCTATGAGAAATGACGACGGACATATGCACGCACGCACGGAACCCAAAACATAAGTCTTGTTTCGGACTACGTCCGAAGGGAACTACAAAGTTATCTTGTTATCCTTTTGTTAGTTCCACGTTAGGCGCAAAAAGCCGCCGGGATCCCGCCGACGAAATTCATTCTTAAGGAACAAT